CCCGCTTTGCAGGGTCAGCCAAAGGTTCGTGGGTGTCAACTGGTAGGTGGCACTTAGACAACAGAGGCCCCTGGACTTCTGGTGGAGCTCGATAGTGGCTTTCGAACGCACCTAGACTTTTTCTTTTTACTAATTTCTCAAGTTTCTTTCTTTCTTTTGTTCTTTCTTTCTGTTAGGTCATTGGGAAAGTCATGATGCATTTTACATTATGACTTTTTTTTTTTTTAAGCTTCTTGCTCTAGGGCACATGTGTTCACCAGAGAGACAGGAAGACAGAAAGTGAGAAATCCCTCCTGGGGAGATGGCCATACCACAATCCCTTCTTCTCCATTCTCCTCTCGGGATTTTGGGCATGCACACACACGCGCCCAGTGTGAGTTTTAAGCCTCCAGGTCCGGGATTTAAACCACAGTCAAGTACCTGAGAGTCTAGCGACATGACCATTATACCATCCGCTGGCCCTCAGCATGACTTTCTTGATGACCTATTATTTTAAAGTTTTTTTTGTCGTAGTACATGTGTGCTCACTGGAGAGAGACAGAGAGAGAAAGAGGGAAAGTGAGGTTAACCCTCCCCCTGCCCCCCTGAGAGAATGGCCATGCTATAATCCCTTTTCCATCCTCCTCCTGGGATTTGGGACACACACACACATGTGCCCAGCATGATTTTCAGGCCACTGGGTTTAAGACTCCAACCATGCTCGCCATGTGGGAATTCAGAGTGCCTTCTCCACCACACTGCCCACTGGCCCCTCACATTGCCTAAACTTTTAAAAGGAGAACCAAGTTACCACGGGCAGGTGTGTGGTTATGGACAGTCAAGCTAGCCCCGGAGCTCACCACAGGTGGCCGTGTGGTTATGGACAGTCAGGCTAGCCCCGGAGCTCTTTAAAGGCTTTCCACTTCATCCCGAGAGTCAGGCTGAGGAAAAGCATCCCTGCGAAAACCTAAGACAGGAAAAGCCATCTGCATCCTGAAGAGTCCCAAAGGGAATAAGGTCATGGGGCGCTCCAGCGACACGAGGCTGTGTGCGGTGATTTCTTCTTCTCCTGTTAAACACGCCATCTGGGAGCGAGCTCGCCATCTGGAAGGGCTCTAAGTGGGTTCCAGATGGATCTCCCTTTGATCCAATCGACATGGACAGGAGAACACCGAGAACAAGCTCCATCGCAGATTCTCCGTTGGCTGCTAGAACACAGATATTTCAGAACACAGGCTAACACCAAGCGCTGCACAAATACTTGGGAGCAGAGTCTTCAACAAGAAAGTGCGAACTTTGGGGGAAATGCTTACAGAAAAGGCCCAGGTGGGGGGAATACAGAATCTGAGGGCCCCTGGAAGACAGGCTGAATCTCCCTTATCTGAAATACTCATAACCAGAAATGCTTCAGATTTTGAATTTTTTTTCAGATATTGGAATATTTGCACATCATGAGACCTCTCAGGGATGAGACACAAATCTAAACACAAAATCCATTTAGGATTCATAGACACCCCATACGCAGCCTGAAGGAAATCTTATACAATATTTTTGGGTGACAGCAGTTGACTGTGCCCCATCCCATGAGGTCAGGTGTGGAATTTTGAATTTGTGCCATCCCATTGGCTTTCAGTCATATTGAAATTCCAGTCATTTCAGATTTGGGATGTTCGGATTAGGGATGTTGACCATGTACTTACCGCGGCACTGCCTGGGAGGACTTCGTCATCATTTCAGATTCCGCTTTGTTTTAACAAAAAGGTCACAGTCAATTTTCATTGTCTGGCATGTTTGAGAAAAGGGGAAGAAAAAAGTTAAAGATTAGCTCAACTGTTTCACCTGCAGCTGAGCTGACTTGCAACACGCTCCATGCTTGGGTAGAGGGGATAAAGTCAAGTGCGAAGGGGCCCGCTGTTGCTTCACCGCAACTTCAGCAGCCCCAGAGCTGAGGTCTGAGGACTGAGACAGGATTACCGGGCATCAGAAGGGCAGAAGAAGTCTTAAAAACTACAAGGGGGAACCAGCAGTTAGCGTAATGGCTATGTCGCTGGACTCCCACGTAGTCGACCACGGTTCGTGTCCCAGACCCGGTGGCTTAAATCGCACGCTGGTCGCGTGTGCGTGCGTGCCCAAGATCCCGAGAGGAGAATGGAGGAGAAGGGATTGAGGCATGACCATCCCCCCTGGGGGGTAATTTCTCGCTTTCTGTCTCTACGTCTCTCTCTGTCTGGCGAGCGCACGCACCCTACAGTGAGAATCTCTCAAAAAAAAAAAAAAAAAAAAACTACAAGGGAGTGCTCTCCCTTGACCTGGGTATAACAGTGTTTCCCCAGCAGGTGTTGTGAGGAACAAAACCTGTGTACAAGGAACCTGGTCCAATGCCTGGCATTTAGTAGACGTTCACTAAACTAGAGTTGGTTTCTGTGGTTGTGGTTATTAAGTGTCATAAGGTTTTCCTGTCATGATATACAAAGTACCTTTCTATGTGAGGTCTTCAAAAAGTTTCTAGAAAATGCTTATTATGATAAAGCTATGCATGGGTTTCACATTTTTGGCACCAAAATAAATTCCTATTTTAATTCCAGATTTTTCATGAACTTTTTGAAGTTGTCTCTTCACGTGCATGTATTCAAGTGTCACAGTGACACTTCATGAGACCTCTCAGGGATGAGACACAAGTCTAAACACAGAGGAGGAAATCGTACCTCATTGCTCATGAAGAAATGGTGCTTGCAGAGCTGGCCCTGTAGGGTACTGGTTAAGTCTGCAGAGGAAGCTGATCCCACATGGCCGGACCAGGGTTTGAGTCCCCTCCTAGCAGCTTGAAAAAACATGTCAGGTGTGTACTGTGCATTCCTGGGTCCTGAGGAATGGAGAATTGGAGAAGAAAGGGCTGTGTGACCTGGTGTGACCAGACTCCATCAGATGCTCTCGGGGAAGGAAAGGAGGGGAAAAGGGAGAGGGAAAGCAAAGTGAAGGGAAAGAAATTGTGCTTGGAGAATGTTAATGAGTTGTCCAAAGTCATACACCCAATAAATAGAGATTTGGGGCTTAGAAATGGCACGCGATCCTTCCACTGTGCCATTGCATTGGCCCTTTTACAAATGAATGCTTTTTCTTCCTTTTTTTTTTTTTTCTATCAACTTTACTATAGTTTTGCATCTTGTGCATAATACTTTCTGGGGTCTTGGAGTCTTTTTTTAAGGGTACCTTATTTTCAGTTGATACCTACATTTACTCTATATAATGTTGAGTATACTCTTTGGATTATTTAGAGACAAGGGTATCGGTGTATGAATGAAATGTTTCTGCACTGGGCTAAAGTAGTGATGGTAACAGGAGGCCCTTAACCCTGATACTAACCAAAAAGAGAATTATTGCCACAATTCTGTGCTACATACAAAATTTAATATGCTATGTGTTTGATAAATTGCATATAAAAATAAATATATATATAGCATTTATTATAGATATATAATAGTTACACATAATACAAACTAGAAAATAATAAAAAGAAAACTGAAAAATAATACAAACTAGAAAATAATAAAAAGAAAATTCCCTAAAGGACAAAGGTATTCCTTTCCTGTTTTATGATTATCCAGCGTTGAGTTATATGGTTCTAATTTATTATTATTATTATTTTATTTATTTATTTTTTAGAGAGATTCTTGCTATAGGGTGAGCATGCTCACTAGAGAGACAGAGAGACAGAAAGTGAGAAATCACACCCCAGTAATCGTGGGCCATACTGCAATTACTTCTCCTCCACTCTTGGAATTTGGGGCGTGCGTGCACACACACCTGACGAGTTTCAAGCCATCAGGTCTGGGACTCAAACCTCTGTCAGCCATGCAGGAGTTCAGTGACACAACCATTACATCATCTATGGTCCCTATATGGTTCTAATTTGTATGTGCAATGTCACTAAAGGTTTCTGAAAGTTCTCCTTATAAAGTTCCATTTATTGAGGGTTTAAAAAAATGAAAAGTGAGGAAGTTACTTTTTTTCAATGGGGAATTCTATGTGGCTGTTGTAGTCTAATTTTTGTCCAGAAGATGGCTTTTTTCCAATCTAGTTCAGCTATGGGAACAAACCTGGGTGCTTGGCTGCAGATACTCATTTGTCTAATAAACACTGTGCATTTGCTTAACATATTTTAAAACCCAGGAGGTTTTCATTAATTAATCGATTCATTCATTCATTCATTCATTCACTCTATTTCTGACAACATTATATAAAAAAACCAGAAGCCGTGACACCAGGGAAGCATGCATTGAAATCATCTAGCCTAGTGGTCTTCCGTATGCGTGCTGAGAAACAAATTGGTCCATCTCTCTTGGCATGAGCCATACCTACCACAGGCTTTTTGACGAAGTCAAGAGACTCAGAGATCTGTGTTTCCTGGTGAGAAAAATAGGATTTGGCTCCCATGGCTTTTCCTTCTCTGGGAGTAGGGCTTTAATTGATGATGTTGGGAAACTCAGCTACACGCAGATCCTATTGCAATAGGAGAGATCAGCAGAAAGGCCCTACCTAATGTTCTAGGCCTGAGGCCAAAAGGAATTCTAGAGAAAAACGACGCCATCTGCCCAGCCCCATTGAGGGATGGCTATGGCTACGTGGCTATTTGTGTGACACTGGTGCTTCCCTGCTCTCTCTTTTAGAGAGCACGTGTGTGTGCACCTGAGAGAGAGAGAGGGAGAGAGAGGGAGAGGGAGAGACACTGTAGACATGATCTCATCATGGTGCACTCCCCCTTCCCCAGCCTTCCAGATCCTTCAAATCCTGGCACCCGGGCATACCAGCGCATTTTCAGGCCAACCAAGGAATCCAAATCTATACATTGGGTTGTCAGAAAAGTCATGATGTATTTTTTCTATGTTCTTCTGTACAAAAATATGTCATGACTTTTCCAACAACCCATTCTACCGTGGCTAGGTCAATAGGTGTTCTCAATGTCCCTGTTTCAACAACCGAGGGCATGCAGATGGTATCCCCTGGACCTTGAGGAATGACACATGTGTATCCAACGTCCCACAACAGCCAAGAACAGATTTAGAGGTCAGAAGTCCAGGAATGTATTTCACATAGCCAGCCCCAAAATTGTCAAGGCTAAAAACAAAGCAAAACCAGTTACTACAAATCTTAAGAAAATAAACATCATGAATGATGAAAAAGTTGACAATGTAAATAAAGCTTTTGTAAAGTTTTTTTTTTGGGGGGGTGGGAGGGGGAGAGGATTTTGCTATAGGGCACATGTGCTCACCAGAAAGACAGAGAGAGAAAGAGACAGAAAGTGAGAAATCACCCCCCAGGGGCGATGGCCACACCACAATCCCTTCTCCTCCATACTCCTCTAGAGATCTTGGGCACGCACACACACACGCCCAGCGTGAGTTTAAGCTACTGGGTCTGGGACTCGAACTGCAGTCAACTACATGGGAGTCCAGTGATATAGCCATTTCGCCAACTGCTGGTCCCAAGCCTTTGTAAACTTACAAAAATAATTTGTACACTTTTCATGAGGCCTTTCTCTTGAACTGCTGCAGAAAGACCTGATTCCTCAGCGGCATCAGGAACATGAACCTGTTAATGTTGATGCAGCGACAGGGTTAGTGGCTCTCTTGTAACGCAGTGGTGATTTCTCAAATTACTCAAAAGGTCAATAAATTAAGTCTTTTAAACAAGGGAGAGAACTGAGGCTTAGAGAGGTTGAAGACTGGCCCAAACCCATGTCGCCAGTAAGTGGAAAGTCTAGGGTTACAGCCAGGAAAGCTGAATTCCAGAGCTTAGGACCTTAGCTTCCCTGCAGCGTTACCTCCCGGTGCAATAAGCAGAAGAAATAATGATACGCTCATGTGACCAAGTAGTTTGCAATATTTGCAATTAGCAAGACGTTCAATGTAGGAACTTTTGTCAACATGGAAAAATGTATACCATAGTTTATTGTTCAGTAAGATTCTAAAACTACATATAGCATAGCGAAATTGTCCTCAACATGATTCTATGTACATTTCATAAGCATTTGTATTACAGGCCTAGAAAGAACACATACCCAGGATCTCTGATGATCTTGATTTGCTACTTCCTACATGCTTATATTTTTCCTATTTTCTAAAATAAACTTTAGAAGTTGAGAAGAATTGGAAAGTCATTACTCCTGCCTCCCCATAAAACAAACAAACAAAACAAAAACAGAAACAGAAAGCAGTCGAACCACAATAAAATAAAAACACTGAAGATTTTACAATCCAAGCCTCTGCTCCTATTTAAGGTATCCCTCGAGAAAAGCAAAAGACAGCAGAAGAGAGGACAACAAGGACCCCTGCAGGAACTTTAGCCTTTGAAACAGCGATGACAATAAACGGTAAGCACAGCCCACCTCCTAGCCAGATAAACATGGAACCTCACACTGAATCAGACTACCTCAGTTCCTATTTTCCCACTATGTCATGTCCAACCATCAACCAAGAGTTACAGGGCATGGTAAGTGGCAAAACCATGGTCAGAAAAAAAACAAATCAAGCATCAGAACCAGATCCAGATATGACAGAGACTTGAGAATGATCAAACCATGGATTTAAAAATAACTCAGAGGACCAGCATGGTGGATAAGGTGCTGGACTCCCACATGGGTGACCACAATTCAAATCCTGGACCCAGTGGCTTGCTTTCTCATTTTCCCTCTCTCTCTCTCTGTCTCTCTTTTGTGAATACACATGCTCTGTAGCAAAGGGAATAAATAAATAAATAAATAAATAAATAAATAAATAAACAAAACTAGTGATACTGATATATTAAGTTAAATAAATAATTATTTTAAAAATAAAAAAATAATTCTGATTAACGTGATAACAGCAATAAGGGAAAAAGCAGACAGCATGAAGGAACGGATGAGCTATGTAAGCGAGAGATGCAAACTCTAAGATTCTAAAGGACATGGTATAAATAAAAAAGCCATGATAGAAATAAAGGATGTCTGAGATCACCCCTGATGGTTTTAATCAGCCTGCTTTAGAGTAACATTTTCTCTGCTCGTGTCTGTTGTTTTAAGCAACTGCATCTTCATTTCATGTGACCCTGACAAATGGTAATCAGAGAAAGCAGATTTCCTAAGGAAAAGCAACCTTAGTTTTGCCCCACATTGAATTCCACACCCCCTCCCTGAGCATCAGTTACAAATACAACTTCTAAAAGATTTTTCTCGAGGAATTAAAATCCTGAGCCGCCATGTTAAGCACCAGTTCTGTGTAAGGGACCCTTAGGATTAGAAAATAAGGAAAACACAGCCCTTGTCTTTGACGATGTTTTTTAAAAATCTGAATAGACCCTGGCATCCCCATTGATAATCCTTCTGTGACTTTTCTCCCTTTGTATGAGTTTCAAATGGCCATCCCTGACGTCTAGACCACGAATAATTGCACATCTCTTCATTTCCTTTTCCTTTTTAATTATTTATTTATTTAAATTTGTTCAGAGAAGAACAGAGTGAGTGAGAGGGAAAGTGAGAAAGCAAGCTGCCGGGCCCAGGACTTAAACCGCTGTCAGCTATGTGGGAGTCCAGTGCCCTTCATCACAGTGCCACCTGCTGGCTCAGACTGCCTGAATTAGAATCTTGGTTTACAATTTACTGTGCATCCCTGGGCAGCTTACTTAACCCCTCTGTGCCTCCGTTTCCTGATCTGTACAAAGAGAGTGTATTCATAGTACCTATTTTATCTCTTTGTTGTGAAGATGAAAATGTGTAACAAGGAGGTGGAAGGCCGCCGGGCCCAGAGCTGAGAGCTCAGTAAATGTCACCTCTTATTTCATTACATACAAATCTCGTCATTCATATAAAAAGTTTTTTAATCCTACTTAAAATAATTTGCTTTTTAAAGTTTTCCCATTGCTTGGTTTTTAACAATGGCTGTAGTATATTGTTTGTAATAATTATACAATGCAACCTGACTCTCCCAATGTATCCGTTTTTGCTTGGGCTGATTACACAAAGTAGTAATATGTCTTCCAAAGGGTACATTGTTTTCTGATATGTTCTGAATAATGCACTTCAGGAAATCTTCAAAGCTAACAACCCATGAACTCGCAGCATGTCATTTTCCCTGATTTCCAGGTCCTTAGAGGCATTCTTAAACATGTGTGGGCTTCGTATACAGACTTACCCCTTTAATTCCCTCTTGTTCATTTCCCACAGTGTGTAGAGAGCGCTGCATTTTACTCTCCTTCCCCACTCTCCCTCATGTATTTGTAAGTGAAAATAGGCACACAGGGCATGAACGAATTCACACATTTATTCTTGAAGCTCAGAAAGGTTACCGGTTACCCGTTTGCTCAGCAGACAAGACATTCATGCTCTCGCTCTTTGCTGCAAACACGACTCCTAATCTGTCAGTTTCATAAATCATTCTCCAAGTAGCCCAGGACAGACAAAAATCAAAGAACAAGTTAGCAGTGAAGCGGTTACAGATCTGAAATCAGGTGACAGCTCGCCCCATTGTCTCTCCTAGAATGCTTCTCCCAACGGCTCACCGCTGTGCATGGGTGAGCACTCTTCTACTTGTTGACGGAAGTATTTTTAGAAAGTAATGCTTTCCCATTTATAAAACCCAGAGCGAGGCAGCGTGATGTGTAGGCGGAAGTTCTCAGCCCTGGCTGCAGATTGAAATTACCTGTGGAGCTTTTCCAAAATCTGCAGATGCCCTGACCTCACTCCAGTCCAATGGTTTTCAGCCAGGGCTGCTTGTATGGATTGCCTGGGGAGTTTTCTAAAACTAGGATGCCTGCCAGGGAGCCTGGACCAATTGCATCAGAATCTACTCAGAGAAGCACAGTTTAATCAGCTGTCCAGGTGACTCTAACATGTAGTCAGGCCTGAGAGCTGCTGCTCTGGACAGATTTAACTCACGTATTCATTTAACACACACACACTGCCGTCTGTTGTATGCAGACGTGGACGTGGCAGGCAATATGGCAGTCAGTGCACTACGTACTGCCTGCCCTCCTGGGCTTAGAAACATGAACCCAAATCCTCAGGGGTGGGGCTTAGGCAACCACAGGGTAAAAAGCTGACCAGCCACGAGGTTGAGAATCAGGGTATTCGAGAGCAAGGAGGACACAGCTGTGTTTGAATCTTGGATCCTCTGCTCATTGGCTGTGTGGTTTGGGCTAAGTTATATAACTGTCCTAAGCCCTTGCTTCCTTATCTTGAAAATGGTGGAAAGCAAATCTTTCACTCTAGGGCTGTTCTGAGCTCTAAATGAAAAAGGAGTCAATAGCCATCGTGGTGCAAAGCTAGCAGCTACTCGGTCTTTCATCAATGTTAGTTCCTTTCTTCCTTTCCCCTTTAATTTCTCCTGTTGTTCTTAGAGTAATAGTTGGTGCTAAGTACGTGTAATGTACAATCGAGGTGAGAGATACTGCCCTGGCTTTCCAGGAGTGATGGTGTCATAAACAGAGAACAGCCACCTCAAAGCACATAAGCTATTCCTAGGTGTGTGCTCTCAGCCACTTTTATTACTGCAGGGGTTCTGGCTGGAGAGAAATCATCGCTGAGAGCCAGGAGCCAGAGAAGGTTTTTTTTTAAAAAAGGAAGAATTTAAGAGCAGGCTGGAAAGGCGAGTAGGTTTTGCCAGGAGAAGAGGAGAGGGAAGGAGAAAGAAAGACCAGCGCCAAGGTAAGTTCTAAATGAGACCTGCAGGTAGGCCACATTTAAAGACAGTAAATACTCTGCAAACTCTTCTTGGACCCTGGTCTATGCATTTCAGTGAGCAAGAAGGTGCAGTTTACCTGGATGATCAATGGCTCTGTTATCGTTGCAAGCAGAAGTGAACGATGATGCGTGAGGCTTTGGTGTTTAAGAACTTGAAGGAGGTGTTTGTTTCTAACGAAAGCTGTATTGCTTCATATGCATATTCCTCCCTGAATTGTTTAGTGGAAATGTGGCATGTTTCTATAGGTTTATATGTGCCTTCTTCTTGGGGGAGGGGGTGGTACCAGCCTACCTTCTTAGAAAAACCCCACATGATGAGTTTTCTAAACACATAGAACAGAGAGTCAAATAGATGATGTCATCCTCCTTCGAGTGAATTTTCATTCAGGTTATCATGTAAGTTCTCCTAGAGGTTTGTCCAAGATAGTTAGTCCCTGACCAGTTGTAAGCAGCAAAAAGAGAGGATCTGCTGGAGCCCATCTGTCACTGTTTGAGGAAGGGCTGAGACCCAGCACCTGCTGCCAGGTGTCCCTGCACTGTGTCCCCCGCCCTGCACTGTGAGGTCTGGGACCTCTGGCAGGCTCTGCTGACTGAAGCTGATAGTGCATCCTGCCTCTGCTGAGACAACTTGCAATGACCTACTTTGAAAATGGTATCAACTTGGCTGAGTGCCAAGGAGTTGGGGTGCAAACCAGGCCAGTCCAGAGGGCTTTCCAGAGGAAGAACGCAAGCTCTCTGGGATCCCTCCAGAAGATGTGTGTATGATTTTGTTTTGGAGTGGTTGTGCTCTCTTTCGGCACTCTCTCTCTCTCTTTTTCTTTTTCATCCCCCTGCCCCGTTTTTCCCCCAGGGCTTTGGCTGTTACAATTCATCTTTAAGCTGTTGGAGTGCAGGCTGTTGATTTGTTGAGCTAGCTGTTAA